GGCAGACGCAATGTCGTGCCGTATACAAGTTCAGCGGCGGAACATTGAATATCTGCCTTCAAACTCGTTCTGATGCCTAAGAGAACGAGCGGTAAGGTTTCGTACTAATTGTCGTTTTCGTGTGCACGGGGAGCACTTTTATGTTGGCGATGAAACCGTTCGACTAAACCATTCAGTGCTCGATGGTAGACGGTAGTGCGTATGCGTTTCGTACCTAGCAGCGGGTCAGTGAGAATAATGAATTAGGGAAATTTCTCGAATAAAGCGTGCAATATATCGTCACGCGAATAAAGTGCCGAGGATTCGGTACGCGTACATCGTAGTCTATTATTTTAATACTATTCTTATCGTCATCCGTCATGTCGATTATATTATATATTAAAAATTAATATGAAAATATACGACAGACGTGGATAGATAAACAATAGACTCACCGAATTGACTTCTTTGGAAGATTTGACCGAGGTTGAATCGTGTTCCCAGATTTGGCTCACCAATTTTAGCGTGGTGTCGAATCGCGTTGACCATGAGCACCACTAAAAATCGAGCGCGTACCAAGTAAATCAGAAGGCGATAGTAGATCGTAACCAAGTTTATTTGTTGGCGATCTCGTGGTATTGAACGAATAGCAAGATCGTGCCAAAACGGTACAAGCAAACTCGGCAGGAAGAAGGACGTGCGTTGAGAGTCAGAAAGCGCGCAGAAGTAATGGAGTCCAATGGAAGACCAATATGGCCGTTATTAGGACAGTTGAACAAGCGAGCACAGTAAAACAATCACTGGTACAATTGGTTATAATAATAACTGTTTTCGTTGAACCAATCGCGTTCTCTTGACAAAAGTAGGTCACTACAAGGCAAACAGACCTTCAAAATGTCGCGAACACTAATCCTGCATAAATATACACAATGTTATCAAACTTAGGAACATCAGAATTCAAGAGAAATAAAATCGGTCAAAATTTACGAAAAATCAATTCATTCTAGGTGGTCTTCAGTGTTGGTTTTATGTTTTGTTTATTTTGATTATAGTCTATGCAACGTTCTCTCAATGATCACGAAAAATTTAGACACTTTTATATGACGTTGTCACGGAATTGAATAAACAATTTTGAGGACGCAAAATCCATAAAATGTATTTCCTCTATAAATGTTTGTCTACATTGTCCCGGGAGAAAACTCTCGGCCACATTTTTAAAACAAGAAAACACAGTCATTTAGGTGTAATGTACTTACTCATACCTGTTGCCCGTGATGGTGGAGCATAGGCCATCCACCAGTATTCTTCTGTCCTTGGAAATCCTTTGTAATTCTTTCCAGGTTCTATTCATCCTTTTCATGTCTGGTTTCAATCCCCGATGCAGTGTGTTTTTTCGACTTCCACTCTTCCGTTCTACTTCAGGATTCCATGCTAGTACTTCTTTCGTGATGTAATTTAGTGATTTCCGTAATATATATCCTATCCACTTCAAACGTCTTTTCCTAGATTCCTCTTCAAAAACAAGCTGGTTTGTTCCCTTACATGGTGGGCTGCTGCTGAGGATATCCGGTCAACGGAGAATATTTCGTAGACAATTATTTAAAAATAATTGTTACTTTTGATGATGGTTATGTTAGTACTCGAATGTTCGGCTCCGTACAATATAACTTTCTTGACATACGTATTGGGCATTATTAATTTGACATTAGTTAACAGTTGTTTTGAGTTATATAGGATTTTGAACTATAGGAACGCGTCACATATTTTCCCAATCCTTGCATTCACGTCTGCCTCAGGACCTCCTTGTTCATCAATGATGCTGCTGACCAGGTACGTGATGGATTTCAGCTCTTCCGGAGTTTCTTCACTAAATGTGACTGGGTTGGTGTTGTCCGTGTTGTATTTGAAAATGCTGCTTCTCTCCTTGTGTATGTTATTGCCTACTTATGCAGAGACTGTTTCTACACCGATTGTCTTGATCTGCATTTGTTGATATGCATGAGTTGGAAGAGCCAGGTCATCTATGACGTCCACATTGTCTTGTTGCATCCAATCTGTCCTCTCTATTCCACGTGTTCCTTAAGATTTGGAGGTGTTTATATACAAGAATAAAGAATATGAAGAGACAGTTGGCAACCTTGTATGACTCCGGTGTACATGTAGAGGTTTCGGACCGCAACCAAACGACCTTTGAAAAGAATTATATTCAAAAATGCACATGAAGAGAAGGTCAACTTAACCAGATGGCATGCCTCAGTCTTGCAGACGTGGTCATTATGCGTAAATTGCCTTTGCTTTCATTAAATACATTATTCTATCTTCAGCCTAAAAATGTTCTTTAAAACTCCAGACACCATTTTGTTAATTGCTACGATACGATGAGTCAGTGTAAAAAATGATGTGACTTTCATGTAAGATCTCATATATTAGGCAGTCAAATCATAAATATTTAGGATTTTAGGATGAGGCCAATTATTGTTATACTAATAACGGAATAGACCATGTAGCTGGACTCATATTTGAAATACATATACCCCTGATTTAAAAACAGTGTGCGACTATCATATATACATCACTTTTATATTATACTCTTCCTTCGCACAACTTCTTCACTGTAAAGCACAACACTTGAAAAGTCCATTTGAACGCTATTGTTTTAACATTCCATTGCCCGTTTTATTGTGAGGACACTGTTTAAATTTGTACATTTCATTTAGCAACGGCACGTATTGTATATTAGTGTGATTTTTCTGACTTGTAACTTCTAAGAATAGTGTCAACTTGAAACTCTCTAAACGTCTGTGATGCTCAGTGCCTTAGTCAACAATAATCATTGTTATTGTGTGATTAAGACACTCATTTTTAATTATAATGTACATTACAAGATAGAATGAACTCTGTTCTGCTGTTCGGTTACTCAAGATGCAACATCGGACTGAAAAAATGTGATAAATCACATATTCGTATACCGAACAGTAGAAAACATGGCCTACAAAGTTTTTCTGTTTTCAAGCTTTTTGTTTATGGAGTTTTGATGCGGATGTTAGCTAAGTATAACGAAATATTTTATTGAACCACTAGCTGACCTTATTGTAAGTTCTATGTCCACACTTTTTCAGCTTATATACATGAGGGAGCAATATCGATCCTATCTGCAAATATTTAAGTTTCCTTTCAGAAAACAATAACGCTCACAGCGTTGTCCAGCCCGAATAATATATTCAGTTTTATAGGTTCTATAAAGAAGTGATAGTGTACTTGAACACAAACAAGTTTGCGTTATTTGTGACGTCTAGGTGTCACAACATTGATTGAAGGGATTTGTATCAGTAGTTCTTATAAATACATATACAACACAGGTAGATACAAATCTTATTAAAACGTTCAAATTAAAAATCAATCACAATATTTATTTGTTACAGTGCCTTTTATGTTCATGTTTATAATCGAAAAGTTGGCCCTATTAATAACTCATCGCAAATTTATTATCTCTGTTGTGCTACCACTTATTATGTACTTGAAAACCTAAAACATTAGCCTAAAAGATCATATTAGTAATTGACAATTATTTTAAGCCTATTGAGCTTCCGTAACCTAAACATTTCTCAGATCATTTGTTCAGTACTTCGAAGTAAACTTATCACGTTTACGAATAAGACATTGATATTCTTCGATTAAGCTAACAGACAACATGATTTTGTTCCTTGTTTGATCGTTTCCGCGTATCATATTAACAAAATAATATCAAATGTAAGAGTTAATCAATTAGTGATTTTGGGAACTAACTACTAGTAGTATTTTGCAGCCCCGAATATACTTCACTTTCCTGTTAATGTGGTTGTGTATGTGACTCTTATTCGACTTCATTACAGACTCAGTCTCGACTACGAACATAGCTTTAGCTCTGTCTTATTATTTCACCACTAAAGTCACGTTTGATTTAAAACGATATGAATATTAACTTTTAACATATAATGACCATTTAGGGTCAGCCTTCCTGCCTAAACAGTCTCTCACTGTTTTCATCAGGTAAATAGCAACGATTGACCAAACTTAGCATCCTCTAGGCATATTTTTTTCTATTCTTTAGTATAATACCCTTGTTTTGTATTAGATTCAATACAGCGACAAACACACGTTTCTTAACACTTTTTCAGCTAGTTGAGTAGAATACTCACAATAAAAGTAGGTAGGAAACATCATGTCTAAAGCTTAATAATAATGTACAGAGCTCAGATGTGTATATGCATTATTAGGCTCATCTAAATTTGAATTTGTTGGTGATAACCATGTCCAATTATGTACTTCTTTTACTTAAAAATGCCAGTTCACATGTTAATTTATAACATACCTTGTTGTCATCAAATACCATATGAATAATTTATGCTTGCCATATTTATCAGCCGTCCTCTTTATGAATGATGGAATTTGTCTTCAAAATTTACCTTACTTAACCCCGACCTGTGTTAACGCGAGTAGACTTTACTCTTACGGTTCAAACCCAAAATAACCCATGTTCAAACTCAGAGTTCCGTTGTTTGATATACGATTGTCTCTACTATGTGGATGATATCTGATTTGTCAAAAACGTTCAACTGAGTTAAATTCTTATTTTTAAGATCTTTTTCGTGCTTAAGCTTAATCAACAACTATAACTGTTCGATCTTTGCTTCCATTCTACATTTCAAAGGGAGTTAATTTGTAACGACTTACATTTTATTTGTTTACGAGTTTTTTATGTAGGTTTTCTCTCTTTGAAAATCGAATCGAGTGAGTCGCTTTAATTTAAAACAGTAATTAGAATATAATGGAGCGTCTTTTGACGTTAGATGTGTTGTGTCTTACAGAGATTTCTATCGACAATCCAACATTCTCACTTGATAAGATAGGTTATTTGGATGGCCAAGACGTGACCAATTCAAAACTAGATAAAAAAAGCCAATTATTTTGTGCACTGCATGGATATATCTGTATATTCATTTGTACGTCCAAACCCGGTTGAACTACAGTTAATTACAAGGGTAAAAGCCAGGTTAATTTTGTATACAAACGCTCGCCTATAAAACTGAAATGTCCATGTTTCATAGCTTGATAAATCTTACTATCTAAATTAAATTCGCAATATTGAACAAGACGGACGTTTGATTTAATTCTCAGTTGTTTTTTAATCTATGTATTAACAGATGCGTACAAATAAACAAACTAATGCAAACATATCATTACGTATCATCGGTTCATTGCTTTGTTTACTGATCACCGTAAGCTTCATATTATTCGTATTTTTACTATTTATGATAAAACTCATATTTCAGTTGGTCGGTACAGCTTTAACCGGTTTTATAGGTCATATACTTATTGCTTTTGAATATATCAGTGAAATATTTGGAAGATATGTATTATTTGGTGGAATTTATGTTATACTAACATGTGGTATATTTACTGTATTGGTTGGTCTGCTTGGGTTTTTCAGTTTCGTACACCCAAATCGATGTACATCTATCACGGTAAGTATTTTTATACTGGTAAAAATAAAAATGTAACATTATTTTCCTTCTAGACTTGTGTTGGTTTAGTTATTCTCATTATTATTACTACTTGCACATCAGTGATTGTTTATATGTATCCTAAAACTGTAAGTTTAATTATAGTTTGAAGCATCTGAATTTTACATAAATTTTATTTTCCATTCTATACCATTTGTGCTTTAAAAATTATTTCTAATGTTTTATATATTTATTTTAATGAAACTTTTATCTGGCATAGTACGTGTGATTACATGTAAAAAAAGTTAATTAAATGAATGAATATGGAAAACTGACATATAGAAGTCGTCACGTTATATGATAATTTCCGGTTGAACTTAAAGACATCTAAATATTTACAATAAAGTACTGAATAGATAGATTTAATAAACGAGTACATGCAATTTAAGAAGTGCTACAAGTATATAAACACGTTAGTTTTAATGAAAAAAACAAATTAAGAAAATATAACCGTTTTGGCTCATACTTTACATGTGAGGGCTAGTGATACTACCCATCTGCCCAAATGAAAATAGGTAGAACGAGACTTAAACCTGCTACCTAATAGTTGAAAATCAAGCACTCTAATTATTAAACCATTATTCTATACCAATAAGTTTTCATGCTTTACATTAGTACGGCAGCATGAAAATTGACAAGCTAAAATGGCAACAACAAAATTAATGAAAGTGGAAATCTCATAAATAAGAGATTAATTTCAGGTGTAACGATCGTACGTTAAGAAAAAAATAAAATTTGTTTGAGTTAACAATGAGATCACGATGTGAATGAACGTAAACAACCACTTCACCAGTGCCAATTTCACCGCTTTAAGACAATATATCATCCTATTCTCATCACATTTTGTATATGACTAGTAATCTGATCAAGTGGACATTTGTTTCTCAAATTATATATATATTGCCGCCAGATTCCATATTATACCCTCGTCTGTGGTCTACAAATACTTAATTGTATTAACTAAAACTTAAGTCCGTTCTAAACTTAGTGTTTATTGAATATTATTCGTAACTTGAAACAAAGCCGCGGTGTTATTTTACTAAGACTTTCCACAAAATAAAATTATCAGCAAAAATTTTGAAAGTGACTTAAAAGATTTTTGAAACTTCCCAGTCATACTAGAACTTTTCTGATCATGATAATGTGGAATATGTGTATTTATATACCAGTTTTCTCTAGCAATCTGTTTTGAGTAACGGGGTTTACAGACCAAATGACTCTCATACTCACTAATGATTAATAAAACTAATGAACAGAAAACAAGTTGATACTAGTATTGATAAATACAGTCACAAATTCATGGGTATACAATGTGTTTCCATAGTTCAACCAATAAGAATGCATTCTTTTAATCTCTTACCGTCGTTTTAAAATTTAAACATGATTATTGAAAGAAAGGATTACGGATCATATTGGAAATGAAAAAAATGAATAAAGTATTTTAAATATTCTCATCTTTCTTCACAAAATCTATCTGTTATAGTTAATAACATGCTCATATTAAATGGTAGTTCTTTATTAACAAAAATAACTTGAAAATATTCGTTTTCTTCTTCAGCAATGATTCAAAACTTCCTTATGAGTCTCTGTATAATTCACTAAACAGAATATAAAGCTACGATAGACATTTTGTGGATACATTGTATGTCGTACAATGTCTTTCTAATTTCCTTGGTAAACGGATATTTCGAGACTCTAATAACTTTAAAACACATCTTAAAATGTATGTTGAAAAAATATTTGTTTCGTCCACATAATTGTCTTGTTTTTGAATCAACTGTTATTTACGTTACCGTCAAAAACGGTAAATTTCCTGAATTTTACTAAGTTATATCACTAACTACTTATAAGTAGTCTACAGTTTTACGTATAATTTTCATGTCTACTTTGAAATTTCCGTCTATCAAATAAACTGCTTAGCATGAAATACATTCTTTGTCCCATAGTCAGGAGTGGAAACTGGCGTGTCTGAAGGAATCCATCATCAATGCATACAAAAGAGGCACTTTTAAATACGACAACGAATGAAGGTATCAGATGTGAATCATCAACAGAAAAAAATACCTGCGATGGCTAATAATCAATAATAATAAGAAACTAGGCATTTAAATAGTCTGGCTAATCACTTTGAAAAGGTTCTTCAGATAAGACAACCACAATCTTACAATTTCTCTTGTGCTCTATTTAGCAATCTTTTTTATTCAATTTAGGCTGGTATTAATTTGGAACTCTTACAGAGCATAAGGTATACACTATTGTGGAGCTTCATACCAGCACTAAATGAAAGTCCACTTCCCTTTCCTTTTTAATGGTTGTGCAAATAAAGCTACCCCGTGATGTAAGCTATCTTTGGATATGAATATTTTTAAATATGATGGGTTGGAGTGAGATTTTATTGCATGGTTAATTTATACGGAAAGTCATATCATTGTTCGATTCCTTTGAGTATCCCATTATCCTTTTCAGAATCTTATCTACATAACAAATCAAACTAGTAAATTGTGTGAAAGTATGTAACAAATATCAAGTGTGAGGTAAATCAGCCTATGAAAATTATTATTTTGACTAGTATTGAGATTTTTTGGCAAACCTTGTATCCATTTAATTTTTTCCTTGATACTGTATAGATGACAAATTTGATATATTATCGAATGATCAAAACATTTCCAAATTATGGCCAAAATATGCAAATAACTAATGCATGGGATATTATGCAAAGTAATCTTAGATGTTGCGCTATACATAACCGAGGTTGGTCAGAATATAATCAAACTGTTTGGTACAAATTAACCAACGCTGATATACATCGTCATGACGAACTTATACCACGTGTGTATTTGTTTTTTTTTTTTTTTGAGTAAATTAACGTTTTATTAGTTGAAAAATCCCCATAGAATATTCGAAAAATGAAGAATATTTGAGCGAATAATTGTTCTCAATAACTTCATCATCAGGTTCTACAGTTATAAATCCATAATTATGATATGGACTTATAACTGTAGAACCTGATGATGAAGTTATTGAGAACAATTGTTCGCCCAAATATTTTTAACATTTTATTTGTGTTTGAAACATTCATAATCATCTCTTGCCAAGCGGGACTGTAAATAAAAAGGCAACATAGACAATAAGGTTTTACAAAATTAAAATAATGAGTTATCTATGGGGCATTAACAACGCTTCAAGATACAAGCAGCGAGAATGTGCCTCCTTTAAATCAGTATATAGAAACAATTAGTAAAAGAACACAATAAATCAAGGTTGTACCAATGAGTTGGGTCATATCAGTAATGGCAGTTAACAAACTGAACTGAGAGCTATACAACAACAACTAAGAGAAATTGCTTCAAATACATCAATTTCTAATAAAAAACATAAGAACTGAAGACGAACTACTAAGAATGATGAGGGAATACAATTACAGATAATTAAATGAATCAAACTATAAGAATATATCTAGATACACAATACAATTAAAATACATCAAAAAATCAATTCATCAATTATAACTTAAGATGCATTAGAGGTATAGTTGATAAATGAACTCACCAATTATTGTACTACAAGCCAATCGTCTTGGCTCACTTTAACCTTGTATGACTATGTTTTGTTTATTCCCTAATCACAATTGTAAATGTTCGCCATAAACGACATTAAGTTTTCTGGAATTCATTTTTATATCCTCTATTACTGTTCATTACGTTATTTATGTCGCTCTTTTCTCCTTTCTAGACTATTAGCTTCTGTTTTTGTGCATAAAATGGTGTTAATTTATATTTTAAAACACATAAAATATATCAAACCAAATATCATACTTATTCTGACTTTGGCCACACTGAGACTCTGTATCCGATAGCTTAAGGACTAGCTATAATCAACTATATGCTACAATCAGCATAATGTGAACATAAAATTTAGTTCATTTTTTGAATTGGTTGTATGAATCCCCCCATTGATGTTTAGGACTGCAATTGATTAACCTCGTACGGATTGCCTTAACATCACCTAAAGACACAAGCGTAATAAGCAAAGATGAATGGTGACTAGCAGTGGATTCCAGGACGCCCATGTCATCCCATTTGGGACTCGTTGGCTGGGCGTGCATGCATTCTAGAGTTGATATTCACTGCGGGACTCTAACCGAGTACCGTTCGATCCAAACACCATTGTGTTATCCATTTGACTACCGAGTCCATATTGCCATTAGCTTGTGGAATGCGGTGAAGTTTATAAGAATTATTTGTTTAAACTGACTTATTAAAGTAAATTTGGTTTATCTTGTTGATCTTAGCATCTACAGCATGCTAATACTTCCTTGTTTAATGTGCTCACATTTTAATATTTCAACCCAGTAGTCCCCATCCCATCTTATCTATTAATTACTTTAGCACATGTTTACAAACTGTAAATACATAAAACTATTCTGTTTACCTTTAATGTGTTAAATCATTTTCCCCTTTTCTAAAATAGTATTCAGTTTTATTTATTCATCTTCGAATGATTGTTTACTTATAAAGAATTTACCCCCCCCCCTTAAAAAAAGGCTAAATTTAATTATCAATAAATTAGTGTTTAGTATTAATAAGAAAGTTTTTTTTTAACCAGGTATATTCATAATCTGTTGTGACTTTATGAACCGCTAGTTATCACGTAATCTATTCGCCAATCAAAATACGACTTATTCGCTCTTATGCTGTACTGAACTAAAGACGTCCGACCGGATTGATCAGCCTAGCGTCCTATTGGTCCGTTGCTCGTCTAGCCTGTCCAGCTAAGTCCAGAATGCCAATAACAGCCTCCACTATGCGAATCATTTATTCCAGACATACTGAGTTTATATACCAAACGAACAGACCGCAACGCACCAACAACACCCATGCCACGGAAAGGCAGTGAGTAGGACTTCCCTCGCAGAGGCTGTATACGCGTGGCCGTGTGAGAGCACTTCGAGAAGGAGAGTGGGCCCATTCTACTCTCGGCCATACTAAAGCATTTGGGAGCTTCACTAGGATATAACATAATCATTTTCATTTTTGTACAATAGAATCTAGTTGATTTATTATACACAATCCTTATACTTGTATCGAGGATACTCTTAACTATTTTCGTTGTCATGAGAAGCAATAATTTAATCACCAAAATATAATTAAATTAAATTTGTTTGCTTACCTATACAAATAATCATTATTATTCCTTCATTTAGGTGCTTTAATGTAGGTAAGTTTAAATCCTTAGAATATTCTATTATTCAATATAGTTCAGTGTTGAATAATGTCATCTAAAATATTTAGTCACATTCAGAGCATTGATTTTCATATTACAGGTGAAGTATTCACTAAATTAGAGAATTAGTATATATTATGATTCTATCACAAGAAAACTATTCACAAGTCTATAATATCGAATAAAAATTATGTCTATTATACCACTATGAAATTATTTTATAGAACCCACTGTATTAAGCTTTTGTATTTCAAACAAATATGACTTAGATAAATTGGATAAAACATAAAGTGTTTGATCAAACTGTTAATTAACCATATGCATCAGTATGAAGTTGTGAAGACTTAAATTCTACTGAGATGACAAAACAAATTTAAGTTGGACATTCATTTACAACTTTAATGTACTGAATGGCCGTTTCGTCCTGGTACAGAACTCCTTAGCAGTGCGCATCCACGACCTCAGGCGTGAAACTTGAGCCCGAGAACGTCGATCTTGCACGTAGACGCTTAACCTGTAGACAATTGATCCACGGTACAACGGTATGCAAGTCTAATTTAGACATGAACACTAAGGGACCCCAACTCATTGGTCTAGAGTCTAAGCATCCGGGCGCGAAAACTAAGGTCCTGGACTTGATCCACGAAAGCGGGGTCGCGGATGCATACTGTTATGAAGTACCACTCTAAAACGAAATGGTCGTCTAGTGCTCCCCAGTTTTCACGGATGGTCTTACTTAAATTTGTTTGTAGCCTCAAAAAAAAAAAAAACAACGATACTTTAATAACCAGCTAAAACCAGGTTTTACTCATTTTACATTGCGCATCGCTATAGCTTTTGCCTGCATAGATTTTTACAGCTCTATTGTGTGGTGCAAGCTTTTATCACAATACAAATATTGTAACTGTGTTCGCATAAATATAGAAAATCACTTGTATCATTAAAATGATATTGAAGACGTTTTCTTCTGTGTGTGTGTGGAAATCTCTATTGATTTTTGTAGGTACAAATCTTTACTATCATTTTGTTCCCGTATCTTGTTGCTTAACTAAAATTGATGGTTTGACTGGATTCCCTTTACAAACTTATCGAAATAAGAAACGTTGTCAAAATTGGCAATACGGTCCACCAGCATTCCAAAATGGTCCACATAATGATGCATTATATTATCGAGTAAGTTGACTAAAGTCCTGTATAGGCTATTTCAATGTTTTATTTCGTGACACAGTCGATAATACGAATAATTACGTATTCCTTAATTACCAATATTACAGTTAAGTCGTTTAAATAGATTTGATTAGGTTAGAAACATTTTACACTTCATCTTGAACTGATTTTGTTTTCTTTTTAGTAAATCCCATTAAAATCAAGGTGCATAGGGTACAACATGCGGGACTCGAACTCAAAATCTTTAACCTCGCACGAGCGCTTAACCTCTAGACCACTGAGCCGCTATTCAACGGTGTTAATGTTTAACATCAGTCAATCTATGAAATCGTGCGACTATCTTTCGTTGTGTTCAGTGAGTAACTGCCTAACATCCGAAATAGTTGAACTCTACTGATCACAGCTTCGCACTAGAATTACCTCTCGAAGCTACTCAGTATTAAGCACGTGGTAATTATCAGTATAGGGTTGTGGAGATTGTTGTTAAACATTTGTTCCTTTTGTTCACTTGGTCTACGTTGTTACATTACGCTCTTAATTCTGTAGAGCCGATTTGAAAAGAACCGATTGATAACTCGATGAATGTATTTATCCATAAACAAGCACGCCAATAATAAGATTATGTTTTCAATTATTAGAAAATTTAAAAACTCTAATAAAACAAATTTGTTAATCTACACAAATAAGCTTACTATCTATAAAACAATTATTGGAAATGTTAAACGAAATCAGAAACGTGATAGACACAAAAAATCTATTATTCTGGTTAGTTGTCTGTAATTTTGTAACTAGTATTCAAGTATGAGTTTCTTTGAACCAGTACCCGTGTATATTGGGAACACTAAATAAGCAATGTTTGGGCTAAAAATAGTGCATTAAGTAGGCTGGAAAGTAGATTGATGAGGTAGTAAAGTGTTATAAAATAAGGTGGTTGGGACATGTTACTTATGCCCAACCACTACCTACCTCGAATGGCGACGTCGCCTCGTATAAGAGTAAGCTAAGAGAAACCTAGTGGCACCCAAATCAAAACATGACATCAACCCATGAAGTCATTGTCAATTGGATAACCAAATTAACAGATGTAGACAACCTGATTGTGGTCCGCGTAATTATCGCAACCAGTGGTCAAAGACTTTGAATGATACGGTTTAAAATCGTTTGCGATGATACAGATATATCCTTCGTCTTTCCAAAGATTCTAAGCTTCTAAATTCCTCGTGACTTTCATTACACTGATTTATTTTTTTTTCTATTACCACCCAAATTGGTACTACCCAAACTTCTCTTGGATCTGCCCTGAGTTTCACCTCCCTTTGCGGAGGCATGGCAACTTAAACCGATATACACACGTGCCAGATTCTACGATGCGACTAACTGACTTCAAATCATTCGGGTGGCTTGCACCAATAATAAGGTTTCGTGAGTAGTCCTCAATACTTCCTCACAATCCTTATTACAGGGTATTACCGATCAATTGTTATTTCCTAGCATTTTAATTGCTGAAATATAGTTCTTCAAATACGAAAATTCTAAGCCATAACGATATGTTCTATTTTTTAAGGGCTGTTATAACCTACTTGTCGATTATATTAATGCATACGCTGAATATATACTCGGAATGGGATTGACAGCTGCTAGTATATTGGTAAGTGTTTCATAGAATCTTATATCTAAATCAATGAGTTACTTATCAACTCCATTTATCTGCACGAACGTGTAATAAAAAGCTTAATCCAGTCAAAACTTGAACTGATAATTTATTGGTTTACCTGATCGGAACCTCAATAACTGAGTAAGACTACTTGTATCAGAGACTCAGTTCAGTAATGAAGCGTAAAATATGGTTAGAAAAGATATATAAAGCTATTTATAATATTGACTACATTTTTTGAGCTAATATGCTTCCTGTGGCAAAAATTAAATCGAAATTACAATCTTTTCGAGTCTGACTAAGTGAGACAATGACATGTTTATACCATTTCTTAATAAAAAGTTATATATCTTCTGAGAACACTGACAAATTTAACAAGACCACTAGGTCGCAGATAGAAATTCTGTACTCCTTACTTCGGTTTACGCAGTTGGGCAAGTGCAACTATCCCTCAAACAAAAAATATTGACCAAAGTCAAGTACACATTACATGCAATTAGTAAATAACCTTAAATTTGAAGTTTACACTTACACTTAAACCACAGTGATACTGCAGTATTTATGTGGAAAACTTATTTTCAAATAGAGACTAAAAAGGGTGAAAACAAAACCTTTGTTAATTCAAACAATAAATTAGTATGTCGGGAAAAGTCTTAACTATTTAAATCCATTTAACTAATTCTAGTGTCATCAACTGGGAAATCCAAAAATTCCACAATATGTTAGTATATAACTTGGCTGGACATTATTTTAGTAATTAGATTCAAATATTACAAAGTTTTCTTTGAAAATGTTCAAAGTAGAGAGAGATTGAGATTTGTGGTCTCCGTCCAACAAACTAATTAATAAATACCCGCATTCCAACATCGTAATAAAAATATATGCTAACGTGGCTTATTTACCAAGTAGTAGACTTGTATACCCTGAACCAATGTTTATTTAAAGGCTAATGATACTACTCAGTGAGTAAAACTGAAATAGGTAAAAAGTGAGGTTCGGTCCCGTAACTTTACTAATTGAAATTTGCCAACTTTAATCGTTAGAGCCATTTCTTTATAAAAAACCGCTTTCCTTCATATCCTTTATTCATTTTCTCACAGATAATACTATTTCTGTTGCTGCTACGTGTAGAACTTGGGAATAATCCAACTGATCTGCGAATATACGACGCAAACTTATTAAAAAACAATCAGAATAATCATTACTACGTTGATAATAAGTAACCTGCATGAATTTCAAAGAATGCCGAATTTTAATGACCCGTCATCAGTTCAATCATTTGATCCTCCGTTAAATTCTATCAATTTAATTCCTACTCGAGATGTACGCGTCCACTTAATTATCTATGTCAACAGCAACTATCAGGACTTGGTCGCTAATCCTTTCACACAAAATAAATGTGATTAACACATACCACATGACTGTCTAGCTTTATTGAAAATAATTCCTTTTGCATTTCACAGTCCTATACATGACAAATGTATATATACTCTTGTAATCTTTGCTGTATATACATGCTAACCTGTATAGACTTTTCTCTAACATGTTTGCAGTTTTCTTGTATGACTTTGGCAATACATTATAAGACGTAACCGTCTTCTCGGAATGAAAACCAACTGATTACAATAAATACAGACTTATCAATTATTTTAGTCTACATTTTATGCTAGAGTTGGTTTACTAACTTGTAAACTTCAATATTTGTTGTAACAAAGCTAGACAACTTACTAGCTGCCTATCTATTTATTAATGGTTCAATAACTTGGGTTGCAGAATTTTAACTGTACAATGATTTAGAAAGTAAAACGCGAACCAAAAGTGAGACTGTACCTCAAAAATGCAAGGCTGTATGCTTTTAACTAAACGAAAGTTGAGTATTTCAAGAAAAATCGAAAAGTAGGAGTTGCTAGGAGTCAAACAGTTGGGTTGCGCAACCAATGAACTCACTACCTTGAATCTACCACACCTCTCATGATAAACCTGCACACCCGCTGAGGTCTCACCCAAATAGTATATATTCAGTATAATTTTATTTGGTATCCGAATTTTTTACTATTAGTCGCCACAGTAAAACACTACACATCTGAGAATATCAGACAATCAACACCCACTTCCCTGATGAGTACCTTTTTGCGCAGAACCGAAGTATGAACTAACAAAACCACTTCTCGTAACTTTATTCTGAAAACATTTGTATTTCGCACGTGTTGTATGACGGGTGTACTCGAAGCACCACTCGTAAGTAGTGGGATGACAGCAAATAATCTTGAGGTTAGGCGATTGATAACACTGAATTATAAACCAATGAAGCAGTAAGATGATGTACCACTCGTACTAGAACATGATTTCAAGAACCCCATGCTTGTTAACACGAGTGAATTCAAAAAAAAGGAAAATACCCACGAGTTAACACACATTTATTGATTGTATTCCATGAGAAAAAAGTAGTCATTTTGAATACATGTTTACCTTGGAACCAAGCTAGCGAATAACTGTGTCCTCTATATTTCAAAAGTGCTTGTTTTGAAGTCAAAGGTAGCAATACATATATATATAGCAGTTGATACGTCACAATTACTATTTAATCTTCCTCAAACTTGGGTTCCGATATTATCTAACGCTAATTATCCCTCCATTTTATCCCGTCTTTTTAAAACATTTCCTTTCGTTCTGGTCGTTGCTGAACCCACTACGACTACTTTCCGACCCATCTTACTATAACTTCACCTTTCTGATGTGGTACATCCTTTACAGACCCACAAGTCTGCTGATTATTACTAACAGAAATAAGCTTGAAGGTCGGTTTATGATTTCTCAGCCTACTAATATTTAAAGAATGAGATTGACAACTTACATCACTACGGTATGAGAGCAAGTGACACTACCAAACATCCCTAAACATCACATCCTTATTCAGGTCGGCAAGTGCTTCTTGCAATTTTAGACTAACCTCACCCTTAAGCTCCACCGGCCTCAATGATCAAGTTTATTTTGAACTACATGCTCACAAATTACTTTATATTGGAACCTTTTACATAGTTGGATCTGCAGAACGATCAAGAAACAACTAAAGACGTTCCATTTCTTAAGTTTCATGTTGCTCCTTGATTTTTGTGGATGTCTGAAACAACCAGTTTTGCTCCTTTGCACTGGCCAGTTTTTACGCAGATATCTAAAGACTGACCCCAAAATATGCAACTACGTATTGTTTGCTACTTGATTTAATATCAGTATTACTGAACACTATACTACAAAACCCACGAGTTACCAAATAGACTGTGCAACAGGATTAACCAACTGCTGGAATATTTGTTTGCACATATCAATAAATATATATGAGACACTACTGGAAAAACACTAGCCATGTCGCACTCTAGACTAAAAAGATATTGACATATTCATTATTTCTACTCAGCGATGCCCTACACGTAGCTAGTTCGCTTTTCAACCTAGCTCGGAACCAACGTGCGCAAACATGACTGAAGAAAATCGTAATGAGTTTTTCTCTTCATGTTCTATCACTAAAATGCAACCATCACAAAAATGCACATTTTATCAGAAATAATCCGGTGACACTCAACTATGCTATATTCAGGTCGATGAACTTTGCGACAAGCCTGGGTTTAATTGCACTTAGATTCGCCAGCATATCTATCTTCAAAAATATAAAATACATGTCTCGGAATAATGAACAAAGATGAATTCGATGTATGGGATACACAATGGACTGTCGGGTGAAATTTCAAATGCAATAAAAAAAGAGCACCCGTTTACAAAAACGCATTTACCTTAGATATCCGTGGAATTCTTTACTCAGAATATTCACACGTATGAATGCATAGGAAGTTACCACAGCTGACTGCATTAGATAACCATAAAATGATAAACAATGTAATATTTATTATCTATTTAAACACATAAACAACGGTAAAAGGAGGCACCAAATATACATGCGCCACATAAATCATTCGATTTGTGAGGTCTGGGATACATCCCGGGTGCCCGAACAGAAGTAATGACAGGGTGGGATTAGCTGCAGTACGGACTGGCCATTTCACGCTCATAACCTGATACTTTAGGGTTTAAAATTAAAACGTAAGCATAGTCATTGTAGCAATACCCAAGAGAAACGTTATGTTCTTCACACAGACAAGACTAATTCACGTTAGTAGGAACCAGAAACAATTGAAATCGAAGATTCCCGAGTATATCTATACTTACGATCAGTAGGATGATCAAATCCTTTTTACAATGGCTAATTATTGAACCACAAATTATTGGGTATGATCAGGTAGATCTGGATAAATGCTCACACAAACACAACGCTGGAAATTGATTTCTCATTGTAAAACTTCTACACACATGCCGAACATAAGTGAGAAAACTATAGTGCAAACACAACACGAAACGACTTAAATAAATGTTTTCTTGCAGTGTCCGAAGATGTTCAGAGAAATTTCAGACGGATATATTTGGCAGCAACAGAAGACATAATCTAGATGACAAGCAATTTTGAAGTGACATTATACTCATGTCAACTAGTCACTCCTTGAGAACACATGACTAAGGATACAATGCATGGTATTCTTGCTTTTTATTAGTGCCTGAAAACGACTAATTTAACGGCTTTGGATAGATGTTGCAGCAACTCAGACGATAGTGGTTAAGACTTTTTAATTAAGGAACTTGTAACAAACCTATTGTTTTTGTAGGATATCGGACTTGAACTTGACTATTTAACCGTACAAATAAACGTGAAGGAGTAAAACCGAGAGGAATCGACACAGACCACTCATGAATTAAAAAAAAAAGCATCTGAACCGTACTTCATTTATTTTTAACTGTACTAATCAAATAGCCCAAAGCCCATATCTTCTTCTGATTCGGACTCTTCTTTAACCTCAGCCTTCGCAGGCTTAACATCTGCCTGCGGGGCTTCAGTTTTAGCTGACGCTGCCGCAGCAGGTGCAGAAGAGACAACAGCACCGGATGATGGTATAGAGGACAACTTCGTAGATCCTTCAACAATTAGTTGTGGAATATCTTTGCCAGACAACGAAGACAACAGCTACAACGTTAACTTATAACTGCTAACTTACTTTCTCGAGTCTTTCAGAATCATGCTCAATGCCAACAGAATTTAGGACAGTTTTGATATCATTTTCAGTAGGTTTCTCCTTACCACCTAACTGACAGAGCAAAAACGCAGCCAAGTAACGCATCACGCCTATGATTCACTAATTCCGCGAGTAACTGTTAGCCGGGAAGTAACAAACAAAGGGTTCAATAATTTTTGAATCCTTATTGTGATATTCATACTGTCAACTCTGTTCATTGGAGTACTAGATATATGTTATACGCAAGAATACTGAAATTAAAGTTTAAAATTTGCTAAACAGTGAAAGAAAACTGCCAGTTCCTTAATATATTTGTCAAAGATGTTAGGGACAAATTCCATTAATTTAAAGTCATAAAACTTGTTTTTGAATCAGCAATTAGTCTTGTCTCCTGAGAGTAAGACGCCATATATATGTGCCAGCTTTTTTCTTTTATACTAAAATGTGTCTGGTTTACTCCTAAATAAGTCTGTATGGTCAATAAAACATAACTGAGCCCTAGCTAATTCATCCAGCATTTGGGTCATTGAATATCAAGCAGTTCATCGATCGTATTAAAGGTTAATGATAATCAACGGGCATCGATCTATTACACACCAAGGAGTGGCTCATGAGGTAATGGTAACACTCTCTTCCTTAAATCTACTCCTACGAATATATTTCTGTAATGATGTAATAATGCATTGAACGGCTGTTAAAGTAATTACTAATTTCTAGGAGGAAGCGATGGAGATAATTTGTGTTGTGTCACAAATGAACGAGGAACATCATGATTCGTCTTGATGAGAGTTTGGCAGTCTCAAAAGCTTCCAATTTTAAACCAAACACGGCGTCAGATGTTACTTTAGCTAATGTTTATACATATGAGGTTAAATTCCCTATGCATACCTTCCATGTACCAGCGTTTTCTTCGGCTGTTATTATTATACTGTCCATAGATTCTATGATTAGGTGGTGGTTGAAGGTAGTCGACAGAAAACTCTGGACCCGGGTTTCGTGCTACTTCGCACTCGTCAGTAAGGTGTACCTGTAATCTTTGAGGGAACTGGTGCTCCCTGGGGGATTCGATCCCGTGTCACCCAGCTTCACAGTCAGAGACGTTACCACTGAGCTATCCGGGCCGCGACCGACCTCCTGTAGGACTGAGATTACAGGTACACCTTGCTGACGAGTGCCAAGTAGCACGAAACCCGGGTCCAGGGTTTCCTGTCGACTACCTCTAACCACCATCTAATCTTACAATAGTGCCCGCGGTGTCGAGTCACCTAGACTGGCGGCCACATTGCAACATGATCGATAACATTCGATCTGCACTAATAATGAGGACTAGACACGCATGACATTGGTCACCCAGTGATCAATCAACTGTGATATATTCTATACTGAGACCAACTCTTTGATATCATTTGAGTTTTTGATAACTCTCACTCTTATCTAATTCATCATTCCTTCTTGACGTCTATTATATTGGACTATCAGCCCTTAATTGCTTCTATGGGGAGTGGTCCTGTCAAGAATTTGAGCTGTCGCCGTCTTCAGGATCACTGGTCTGTAAAAACATTAATTCTTCAATTTTTAACCACTTTATATATAAAATTCTGAAGTCTTGTTGGGAAAGTCATGTGAAAAGGCAAATCAAGTTGCAAATCCTCGAATATTCTGAACATTATAATTACCTCACACACTGAGATACGATAGAGAAAATAATCTGCGTTATTTGTAATGACTGATGCGTCTTTTGTACTTGTTGTGAATTCCAAATATAATACGTTCACTTCTGCTACCCAGTCCTCTGCCTTAAGTTGAAATACCCAGAGAATTCTCAGTTAGCACGTCAATTTACTGCTTCTAGTTATTATACTACCATTGTGATGTGGTCTTTGAATGTAAATTCGGATATACATTGAAATCCTGCACCCTCTGGGAAGTACTAAAAATGTTTGAAATCTGGAGTATGACTAGGAAAGATGTTACAGATGATATACTTGTGACTCATATCCGTATGTTCATAAGGAAAGATACACACAGCCCATTTAAAAACATGGTGTTGTAAGACAGGCCTTTTCACTTCCCTATGGAACTCATAAAAAATTATTAATTAACCATGTAAAGCGTGCAAACTTCGAGTGTCTTGAAAAAGCAAAATTTCGCGAAATGATTTGCCAGAATAACCAGAAGCTTAAAGAGTTTGACCTTGAATTAGAGAAAAAAGCTGTTTTATCGACATCATGTTCAGCTGCTTAACCGAGTAATTTTAGGAATTGCTATACCAAGTTATATAAATGAGCTCGTTCAGATGCCAAGATACATCTTCCGAAATCCCTCAAGTACATGAATTAATGCTGATACAGTGCATGAAACTGACTTTCAGGATATCAGGAATTCCACGAAATTACTTATTTATTCTTTTAATAACCGATATTCCTCGTTCTTGTGAAAATATAGGAAATAAATCATTGAGGTTTCACAGAGAAGTACCCAATGTGAGCTCATATTCGGTAAATAAGGATCATGTTCTAGACCCTATTCATGAAATTCATGTGTGTTTCATCATGCTAATATGCTTGTTGAGGCTCACCAATTTGTAGAGACAAACTTCCTCTTTATCTAACTCCAATATATAGTATCCCGTTAACTGTGTATTTAATGTAGGCTAAATCTCCTAGTAGAATTATCGATTTACTCGAGATTGTTTAAAAGCCCAAACATCAGTTATAGAGATAGTTTATTGTTAAAGATTGGTAAAATCTGCAAGCATAAGCAAGCAAGCACGCAGGGAAAACACAAGTGTGTGTGAGTGTGTGTGTCAATGAGTGAGTGTTCCAATATATATATATATATATATATATATATATATATATATATGAGTGTTAATCAAGTATGGATAAATTATTGATTGTCTGTGTATTACAATCGATGGAATAATAGATTAAAAATTGACATGTGTTTAATCAGACTCACACAGAAAATTACATGTTGAATCAAGTGTCTAAGTTGCAATGAGCAAATAAATAATACAGTAGTGGAATGAGATTACTACACGCTATAGCTGCGCCAAAATTGAACACATCAAGTCGGTGTGCAGAACAACTTTTTATATTGCCACTAGTGATAATAAACCCTGTATTTTGAATCCTATAAATCGGGTGTTTCCAATAATTGCATGATAATTTGTTTTGCAACTCCGAATAACTCACTTCACATTCAACAACAAATACACTTATCCAATGGCGCTTTCCCTGATTTTATCCTTAACACAGGTAACATCAAGTTCATTGTCCCAGTATAAAAGTTGAAGTAATTATTATCATTAACATTTATGAAGTTACTATATCCAATATTACTGGTTTTAAACTTCCTATTTTCGGTGTTGAAATTCGATTACCAGTAATGGTAAATCTTGAATCATAACGTGTGAGTTCCTCATTACTGTTGTGGACTATCTATCCCAGAGCTATAAAATTTTAGAGCGCTTCAAGAACATTTTTCCTTATTGATCACTGAAAACTGTGTCGTAGTACTGCTTCCTACTCTCAAGATCTTCGAGGCCGAACATATAATCGATGAAAAGATTTACGTCCGACATGCAACACTCAGGGAAGTTCAAGGATAGCAAACGCGGGAACAATGAATCGAAATGTTGTAACGGTATTAAAAATCATTACAAACGACGCTACTAATGTGGGTTTGTTTTCCCCATTTCAGGGCAAAAAGAGTGAACGGACTAGAAGAAGAGGAACAAACCTTACGCTGGCTGGACCTGCAGAACAATGAATAAACCCATTTTGTAATAAGCTTCCTTTTTTGTAATCGAACCGCGTCTTTCAATTTTAAGATATATCTCGTTGTGCCAGCACGCCGCGTTCTTACTTCAGAGGCAGTTACAAGTTCTGACTGTTGTGTTGTTGTTTCAGATCGCTCCTGCTTCGGAATAGACACTTATACAACGTGCTACACTGTCATGGCTCGGCCATCCAGGCGTGGTCGCTCTATATAACCTACTTCTTTTTGTATTGAATATATTGTTCATTATTTAACCCAACTGTGTTCTTCAGAATTTTTAGATGTTACATTGCTGACTTCATAATAGGTTGAGTCAGTATAGACTATGATGTTACTTACACTTAAGGTTTCATAGACTAGGTAGTCACATTACGACATCTACAATTTTAGGATTTAGACTACCATCATAGTAGCGAAAGCAAAGGTACTAATACGGAACCAGACCATAGTTCTGCATTGTTGAAACCGCCTAACGCAACACGGACTGTTATTAATTCCAACGTTTAATTTAACTTAATCGATCCGTTTTTACTTAGGTTAATCCATTACTTTATTAGTCCACTGATTGATACTCACGTGCATTATCGTATTGTAATATCGATTAGCGCTCATAGCTTACTAGCTCGATTGATACCGAAAACTGATCTTGTATATTTATGTTAAGTTATTACGGTTCGTTAACAAGCGTCAGTAGCATTCACATGCTTCAGTGAAATAAACTTGTTAAAGCACCAACCACTGGTATATATGGGTTGTAGTATTAAGGTCTACTTTGTTATTAGTACTGTTATAATAATAGACCTGATCCTAAAATTGTAGATATGTCGTAATGTGTAAACCCAATATATAAGATCTTACGTGGAAGTCACGTCATTTTCTACACTGACTCATCGTATCATAACAAATGACAGTATGATACTCAGTACTTCTGAACAACACAATAAGGCTGAAGATGGGATAATATTTCTAATGTGAATAGTAATATGTTACACATAATTACCACATCTTTAAGGCTGAGCTATGGCATCCGATTAAATTCAATTAATTTTTCCCACCTTTTCCATTTTGACCTCCTATTCGTGTTAATTGTTAAATATGCATCTGCCCAGTTATCTCATGTTTAGCTTTGGGGATTATGTGGTCAGGACTAATGTCATTACAAGCTCTTAATGGACGTAAGTAAACATTTGTTAGCAACATAAGCAAGGACTGAATAGTTATCTGAATCTAACTCTTCAGTTTGTTTCTCCTTCTAACATTTTTCTATATTTTAAACTACAGACTATCCTCTAATATCTTTTCCGATTTTCCAGTTCCATTGCTAAATAACAAAGACAATATTCCCAGAGATTATATTGGATTTAAACTACAAAGCTTGTG